TAACCTTATTTAAATTTAGTTTTTTTATATTTTTATATCAATTAATATATGCTTCTTTTTTATATAATTGGCTTCAAATACATGTAATTTACCCTCTTATAACTATTACTACAATGACTTCAATTTTATAAAATGTAATAATATTTTGAATGCTTAATTTGTCTAGTTATCAGATTCTTAGTTTACAATATTTGCAACTTACCCATTTATCTGTTGATCTAACACTTCAATTTCCCAAAATGTTATAAACCTTGAACTCTTAATTTGTCGAATTATCTGAATCTTTAATTCATTACTTTGCGAATTAAAAATTAATAATTTAATTTCTCACTTATATATCTGCCCATTAATATTAGCTACTAGTCTTGTTTGTTGTCTAATATTCCAGTATTGTTAATGGATTCCTAAGCTTTAAGTACATCAGTGTTTCCAGCCCATATGTGTTTGTTTCTATTGCATACCCTTATCCAACTTGTCTTATTACCATATGATATTACTGTATTACAATCTTAAGAGATTACTGAATTTTTAATTTGATTAATTATGTTTCTTTTTTTATTAATTATTTTGAATCTGAATCCATTTGTTTATTCACAATCTTAATCTAATTGTCTAATTCTCACTTTGTTCTCTTTTTTTTTTTTTTGCCTGTGTATTGCCTGTTTATATTGCATATCCTTGCTCATCTTGTATTATTACCATATAATATTCATGTATTACAATATTAATCTAATTCTTAACTTAGCTAATTATTTGTATTCCATTTGATTAATTATTTAAATCTCAATTCGTTTATTCTAGAAATCTTAATTTGATTAATTATCTAATTTCCCACTCTTCTGTTCTTCATTATTTTTACTTTTATATCTGGTAAATTTTATTACTTATATCAGTACAGTATCTGCTAAATGTTATTACTTACATATCTGCTGAATAATATTTGCAATCACTTCACTATTCCTGCATTTTTTTCTTTTCAAATACAGTGCATCATCACTCTTAACGAATTCCCGGATGGTCCAAATGAATTGTATTTGGCACTAAATGTTCAGTGGAACATACAAAAATTAATTTGTGTTGTTCCACTGATGGTGATGACCTAGTCCGGCATGGCAGGGCTGTGAGAGCTGTGTACTGTACACACTCTCCACATCGTTCACTTCAATATCCATATCACTAGTAGCAGACACCTGTGTTAGGTCTTTTTCCAGATTTGGGTTATGAAAATCATTGGCATGCTCATCTTCAAGCAATATTCCTTGTATTCCAACATCAGATGATGTTTTCTTAAAAACATTTCCGACTAGGACTGGGAGCTCGATATGGATGAATACGACATGGTTGCTACCTTGAATATGAGCCTACCCATGACCGTGGGGAATGCTGGGAATATTTTTCAATCTGCCAAACACCTCAGGAATCCATCTTGTACCCAAGTCAACACCGTGTTGGACAGGTGTTTGGGAGCCAGAGTCGCGTGTGCCACTCATTGTTGCTCACTCAGTATTAACCCAGCCAGTAGCCCTAGGACATTCTGGGAATTTTTTCCAAGATGGCTGCCTCTCACTGGAGGTCCTAAGAGTACATTTTGTACCCAACCTACCGCGAGCACATACCACAAATAAAACATACTTTTGTCAGTTGGCACAGTAATTGGCGAATGGCATGTGTCGTTTGGCACAGTGCAGTGGTTAAGGTGTTATGCGCACCCCTGATTGAGCAAAATTATGCGCTATTTGCATTTCAGAGGGTTAATACACTCAACATAACTGGGTAATAACACCATGAAAACCCTTAAACTGCACAACACGTCATATGATGTGTTGAGTAACTTGCTATAAATTGTGCATCATGTCATATGACGTGATGGAATACCGCACAAGATTTGAATGGCCAACGCGGTAGGGGGCCCCCCATATGCTGCCGAGGGGATATAGTAAACCAGCTGCCATTTTGTAAAAAAAATCCAGCTCACGCTACCAATGCGTGGGAGGCCCCAATTACCCAGCGGTCACCATGGCGAACGCATGGCCAAACGCCTCCTGAGCACGCACCACGCAATCACTTACTCAAGAGCAAATAACTAGTGAATTATTTTCTGATGGTGAGGAAAGTGATTTTTGATGACCCTGACATTGATAAGGACTACAGACAATTGACCGATGATAGTAGCACAGACAGTGAATATGAGATACAGTACAGTCTCCTCCCATGGCGAGGCCTACATGCTCACCCGTGCCTCCTCGCCCAGTGTCTACTCCAATTCACCCACGACCACACAGTTCTTGTGCTTATTTAGAGTACGAGGATATTTTGGGCGATGAGTCAGAGGAAGGTGACTCATTTTCTGGTTTTAGTGAAGTGGATTCAGAACATAGTGTTACCATGCCTGTTGCTAGTACCAGTGGTGATTCCAGGCGAGAATTTGTCGTGTCAGCAGCGTCTCGCCCAGCCAAGCGCCGCCGCATGGCACCAAATGAGGAACCAAGACCCTCATGTTCACGTGATTTCACCTCACGTTCACATAGCACCCGTACTTTGCATAGACGGACTTTAGCTCCTGGTCCACGGTGTGCAACGCTTCCTCGCGTGTCGAGCTGCTGTTGCGTCTCGCAGGACAGCAGGTGTCCTTGTGTGGAGTGATGGTGATGATTTTATTCCTCTAATTCCTGCCTTTGACAATAAAGAAGTTGGGATTACAGACCTTTTCCCTGATAATGGTGAGGACATGTGTGAAATGGATTACTTTAGAGCATTTTATGATGAGCCGCTCATGGAATATATTGTACACCAAATGAACCTTCATGCGACTCATCTCATTGGAAAAGAGATAACAGAATATTCACGATTGCAGCGTTGGAAAAACACCACTGTAGGTGAAATATATGTATTTTTGGCAATATGTATGTTGATGAAACATTGTGTCAAACATGCTATCACAGATTATTGGAGCAAAGACCAGACTATTCCAACACCTTTCTTCAGGAAATATATGTCCCGAGACAGGTTTCAGATACTCCTCAGGTGTCTTCATTTTGCAAGTAATGAGGACCGGACAGAGGATGATAGACTTTGGAGAGTCAGGCACTATATGAATGAAGCGATTGGTAAGTTCAGAGATTTCTATGTACCAGCACAGAAGCTGGTGATTGACGATTCCCTTGTGCTTTTCAGAGGACGTGTTGCATTCAAGCAGTATATTCCCTCTAAACGTAACAGATTTGGATTGAAATTCCTTGTTCTTTGTGACTGTGAAACAGGATACGTGTTACACATGATTCTGTATTCTGCTAGTGATGTAGACATTCCCGGTAATGACCAACATGGTTTCTCAGGTAGTGTGGTAAAGTCACTGATGGTACCATGGATGAACAAGGACCACATTTTATACACGGATAACTGCTATACAAGTCCTTTGCAAGCTAAGTTCTTGATTTAAAATAGAACTGGATTGTTTGGTACAGTAAAGCCAAGTAGAAGGGAAATGCCAGTGTTTGACAATAAACTTGAAGTTTGTGACTGTCAGCTAAGAAAAAGTGATCAAATACGTTCAGTTACGTGGAAAGACAAAAGAGAAGTGAACTTGCTGACAACCATTCGTGATGGTACAATGATGAACAGTGGCAAGGTGAACTGAGTAACGCAAGAACCAGTATATAAGCCAGATTGTGTTCTTGACTATAATATCAACATGCGTTTGGTTGATAAATCTGACATGATGGTGGGCACTGTCGAGTGTGTGCGGAAAACATTGAAGTGGACGAAAAAATTGTTTTTCCGTCTTGTTGACATAAGCATGCTGAACAGCTATAATATGTATCTGGTGAAAACTGGACGTAAACCAAGTTTCCGTTCGTTTGCTTTTACACTTGGGACACAGTTATTAGCAAAGTTTGGCAAAGATGTTCCTGGCATACAAAGACCCATCATGAACCCAGTGTTGCAGCATGCTGCTACACCCAGGCTCGCTCACACGGAGGGCATTCAAGCACACAGACTAAAACATTTGCCACCAGCTGGAAAGCATGCAATAGGCCAACGAGATTGCTTAGTTTGTAGAACAATAAAAGAGATCAGAAACGTAAACTTATGCAAACATGGTGTGAAGCGTGTGCAGTTCCATTATGTGCTGTCAACTGCTTCAATGCCTACCACTCTCTCCAAGACTTCTTAAATGTGCAATAATATTGCAAAAACCTGTAAATAGTGCGTGCTTGTGTGTAAATATAATAATGAACAATGTGAATACATATTATATTTGCATAATGGGAAAATATTTTTGTGTGCATGTGTATACTCAATGTATGCAACATTTATTACCATTGAACATGAAGTAACATTATATGCAACACAATTAGTGAATAATATTTGTGATAAAATATGCCTAGACACTGTAAATAATGCAGCAAAAATAAATTTGTGGCAATTCTGACTGCTTGAAGACTGCGCACAATGCCTCTGGGACGCACCTTGCATGAGCAAGCATGCAGGGTGTGACATCATCGCTCATATTGTCGGCTCATTTATGTCATTTGTATGTACGATTAATTTTTTCTCTCTCTCTTGTGGTCAGGGAACACAAATTAACAGTTTAGGAAGATTTTTTTTTTTTTTTTTGTTATGCGCCTGTGGGTGACAAGGGACAAATAGCCCTTACCAACACAAGGGTTAATACACTCAACATCACTGGGTCATGCCAATATGATTAACACTCACCATCACTGGGTAATGACAATATGATTAACACTCACCATCACTGGGTAATGACAATATGATTAACACTCACCATCACTGGGTAATAACAATATGATTAATACACTCACCATCACTGGGTAATGACTATAATTAATACACTCACCATCACTGGTAAATGACAACGCCAACATTAATACACTAGTTAATGAAAATATCTTGATTAATACACTCACAATCACTGGATATTGACATCAACATGATAAACACACACACTGGTAGTACAGTAAGAATAAAATTGTCCTTACCATCATTAATGGGCAGAAGTTGTGTTTGCTATCGTCCTGGGTAGCTGAGCAGAGACTGGACGCAGTGTTACCTATTAAGGCAAAATAAAACAAATTTAAGGTTTCTATGGCTAAATTTTTCCCACCAAAACATAGTAAATGTTTAGAAAAATTAAATAATTCTTTTTGGTATTATGCTTTGAGCAAAAGTGAGGAGGGTGGGCAGGAGTAAGGAGGGTGGGCAGGAGTAAGGAGGGTGGGCAGGAGTAAGGAAGGTGGGCAGGAATAAGGAGGATGGGATGGAATAAGGAGGGTGGGCAGGAGTAAAGAGGGTGGGCAGGAGTAAGGAGGATGGGCAGGAATAAGGAGGGTGGGCAGGAGTAAAGAGGGTGGGCAGGAATGGGGAAGGGGGTATGGGCAGGTTCTTGACTGCCTCCCCTCCCTCTCTAACAGCCTATGTAATACAAACCATGTGCATGTGCTGGGCAAAAAATATTTGAATAATGTGAAAATTAATATTAAATGTTAAACAAATCTCCAACTTATTGACTTTAGCATCATGAAAGTTTAATCCCAATATTTTCAGAAATGTGTTTTAGACAATTTTTTTTTTAAAGGAGAACATTTTGTTGATAAAAACAGCAGCTTCTATTAACTGGAAATGAGGGATAATGCAGTAATAAAGAGATGCAAGCACTTGTTCAATGTACAAAGAAGAAAAATAGTAGCAAGAAGTGTCCACAAAGTGGATATGCAGCTAATGTCTGTATAGCATTGCTGAGTAATACATAATAATACTAATAATAAAATAATAATGAATTTGTTATCATGCTCTATTTTGTTATAAATCATAAAAATGCATCGCCTAATGTTAATCTGTTACTTTCACTAATGTCCAAAAAACCAGCGTTGAATGTAATGAAATGCCATTTTCTGGGTGAGTCCCGGAGGCTCCCCGGAGCTATCCCAGGCTGATATGCTAATGTCAGACTTTGGCATCAGTCATGTGTATGGAGTTCTTAGGCCTACCGGGGACCACGGCCAGAACCGGGCCCCCTCAGAGAGGCAAGGGGAGCAATGGCCTATAGAAGCCCCCGTGTAGTTGGAAGCATTCTATGTCTGCCATCGACCGGAACAGGCACCCAGAAAGGTAAGCGCCCCAAAACAAACCCCTATTCTGGTTAAAATTGCTACCTAAAACCGAACTAGTGGATAGAACTCCCCAACCGAAAACAAGCAAACTAGTGTGACGTCACACACTGCCGCGCCGCTGTCTGCGCAGCTCCCCCCTCCCCGGGAGGGGGAAGGGGGAGCCCCAGACCCCCCGCGCCGGCTACCCACACCTCAGTTCTTGAGGCTGGATGTCAAAAACGCGAAAAACCGCCGACCGGAGGGAGGGAGGGATGCCGGGGAGCCTCCGGGACTCACCCAGAAAATGGCGTTTCATTACATTCAACGCTGGTTTTCTGGGGGGAGCCCCGTCGGCTCCCCGGAGCTAACTACCCACAGACAGAAAAAGAGGGACTTACCAGGGAGGCGGTCGTCGCTCACCCCTCAACTCGAAGCCGAGACAACTGGCTGCAACCGCCGACCCAAAGCAACACAGGCCCGACGAGGCCCAGGGACATTCACAAGGTAACGCGCAGCCAGGACCCTGTTCGACCGCCAAAATCCCCGCGCCCGAATATCAGACCAAGACATATTCCCAAAGACGGCAGCAAGAGCCGCGAACTTACGAACGTCATGGGCACGGGGATAGACCCCGGCTGGCTGGACCTAATAACCCTGCGGACGACCTGAGAGACCCGAACCCGCGAACAGGGAAGAAGGGAAACCGGATCAACCCACAGCGCGTCCCCGGACACAGAAGCTGTGGCGCGCAAATAACGGCGAAGCGCCGCAACCGGACACAAAACATGATGCACCTCCGGCCTGACCAACCAAGCATCAACCACCCATGGACCCCTCCGGAACGCAGCAGTCTCATTCTTCGCCAAAAAAGAAGGAGACGGCTGCAAACGAACAAAACTATCACCACGACCAAAACTAACACCACACGCAAAGCACAGTGCAGTAGCGACACCGGAGCCAGAGCACACGACCATCACCTATAGCATCAGCCTCAAGAACTGAGGTGTGGGTAGCCGGCGCGGGGGGTCTGGGGCTCCCCCTTCCCCCTCCCGGGGAGGGGGGAGCTGCGCAGACAGCGGCGCGGCAGTGTGTGACGTCACACTAGTTTGCTTGTTTTCGGTTGGGGAGTTCTATCCACTAGTTCGGTTTTAGGTAGCAATTTTAACCAGAATAGGGGTTTGTTTTGGGGCGCTTACCTTTCTGGGTGCCTGTTCCGGTCGATGGCAGACATAGAATGCTTCCAACTACACGGGGGCTTCTATAGGCCATTGCTCCCCTTGCCTCTCTGAGGGGGCCCGGTTCAGGCCGTGGTCCCCGGTAGGCCTAAGAACTCCATACACATGACTGATGCCAAAGTCTGACATTAGCATATCAGCCTGGGATAGCTCCGGGGAGCCGACGGGGCTCCCCCCAGAAAACCAGCATTGAATGTAATGAAACGCCATTTACTGGGTGAGTCCGGGAGGCTCCCCGGAGCTTACCAGGCTGATATGCTAATGTCAGACTTTGGCATCAGTCATGTGTACGGAGTTCTTATGGGCCTACCGGGGACCACGAACCAGAACCTCGTCCCCCTCAGAGAGGCAAGGGAAGCAATGGCCTATAGAAACCCCTGTGTGGTTGGAAGCATTCAATGTTTGCCATCGACCGGGTTAGGCACCCAGAAAGGTAGACGTCCGAAAACAAACTCCTATTCTGGTGAAAATTGCAACCAAAAGTCGAACGAGTGGATAAAACTCTCCAAACAAAAACAAGCAAACTAGTATAATGTCATTCGTCGTCGTGCCACTGTCTGCGCAGCCCCCCTCCCCTCCTCCCCGGGAGGGGGAAGGGGGAGCCCCAGACCTACTGCGCCGGCGATCCACGCCCCAGTTCTGAGGCTGGATGTCAAAACATGCGAAAAAATCGCCGACCGGAGGGAGGGATTCCGGGGAACCTCCGGGACTCACCCAGAAAATGGCGTTTCATTACATTCAACGCTGGTTTTCTGGGGGATTCCCTACGGCTCCCAGGAGCAAACTACCCACAGAGGAAAAGAATAGGGACTTACCCGGGAGGTGGTTGCTGCTCACTCCTCAACTCGAAGTCGAGACAACTGGCTGCCTCCGCCGACCCAAAGCAACACAGGCCCGACTGGGCCCAGGGACACTGACAAGGTACCGAGCAGCCAGGACCTTGTTCGACCACCAAAATCCCCGCGCCCGAATGTCAGCCCAGGACATATTGCCAAAGACGGCGGCAAGAGCCGCGAACTTGCGGACGTCATGGGAATGGGGATAGACCGCAGGCTGGCTAGCCTTAACCACTTAACTGCGCCAACCGAGTATTCTCGGTCGGTGGGAAACTGCGCAACCGAGAAAACTTTTTTTATTTTTCGGTACCAATTCTAAATGTGTAAGAGGTTGGTTGTGTACAAAATGGACTCTTTAGGACCTCCAGTGAGAGGCAGCCATCTTGGAAAAAAAAAAAATTCAATCGACTTGAGAATGGTCCAGGACGGACCGAAACGTCGTCGTCCCTTCAACTTCTAGTGTGTGGTCTGGTCAACATACTTCAGCCACGTTATTGTGACTCATCGCCTGTAAATTCCCAGAATGCCCTAGGGCTGCTGGCTGGGTTAGTACTGAATGAGCAACCATGGGTGGCGCACGCGTCTCTGGCTCCCAAACACCTGTCCGACGCAGTGTTGAAAGATAACGCTCTGTTGGTGAAATACAAACCTTATTGTTTGAAGAACATAAGGGTCATAATATTGGTGAAGCTAGGCGCAATAAGGACCTAACACAAAGGTCGGATGCAAGTGATACAGCACCTATGAGGACGATACAGCGAGCATATCCAGTTGTAGCTCTGAGCGTCACCCTTGCAATCCTATGCTATCTACAATTTATTTAGATGATACATAGATGAATCGTTTTCTGCGTTCAGTGATGATGCATCTGATACGAATAGCATAGATGAACAGTGTTAGCGGCTTCCATGGTGGTGTTTTCCGTAGATATTTTAAAAAATACCTGAATCTCTTCCTAACTGACGGACACTCTTTGAGGCTAGCTGAATCTCTTTCTGACTGACGGGGGCTGGGCAAAGGTCTTACCACTCTTGAGGTAAGCTGAATCTCTTCATGTGTGGGACCATACAAAGCGATCTTTTCAAGACTACCTTACAAATTTTTTATCTTTTCCTATTTCCTATAATTGATCTTTTCCTATAATCTTTTCAATACTACCTTATGCTTTACAAGCTTGGCTACATACAACCTACAAGTACTAAAGCCAAGGGTGTTCGTGAGTGCGTTATTTGCAAGCACACAAAATGAAGAAACAGGAAGCAAAAATTTATCTGTACCTGGTGCACTGAGAGCGAAGTCGCACTGTGTACCATGGGCTACTTCGTTGACTATATTCACTTCCGAAGTACTGAGTGTGTAATACAGTGTGTTACTGTGTAAATAGTGTGTGAAACTGTACATATTGTAAATTTAGTGAATTTTTAACAGGTAATATTGCGACAATAAACATTTATTGTGAACACATTACTGACACATGTACAATATCACAGTTCCATGGAACATTAACCCTTAAAGTGCGCATCACTTCATATGAAGTGTAAATCGTTTTACCAGTCAACTGCGCTTCACTTCATATGAAGTGTATGGGTACCGCGCACGATTTGAATGGCCCGCGGTGTAGCTGGGGGTCCCATACGCTGCCCAGGGGCTCTAGTAAACAGCGGCCATTTTGAAAAAAAATCCAGCTCACGCTCCGATGGCATGGGAGGCCTCAGTTTAGCGAGAGTCACCATGGCGAGCGCACGGTCAAACGCCTCACGAGCACGCATCACTCAGTCCCTCACCCCAGAGCAAATAGCCCACGAATTATTCTCTGAAGGTGAAGAAAGTGTGTTTGACGATTCAGACAACGATGAGGATTATACACAGTTGTCGGGAGATAGTAGCAGC